TTTCTTTTTCTAGTGTGGCCAGCGAAAGCATTTCCCTCCGCATGCTCTGGTGTCATACGAGCTCTGCCCTGCCCAGGCAGACCGCTTGCAATTTAATAAATATTCTCCTGAAGATCTTAATTTTAAAGCAGTTTCTCTATGTATTTTAAAGCCTTTGGGCTGCCTATCGATGGGTTTCTTCTCCTTGCAAATATTTCCTTAGAGCAGGTGCCTATTTAAGCGTGGATTGCGCCGTACGGGTAAATCCGCTGCCCTCAATCACAGCTTGTGGTTTGTGCTGCGTAATAGATTTTTCCAAATTTCGCGTAGTAGATTTTTCCAAATTTCGCGTAATAGATTTTTCCACATTTCGCGTAATAGATTTTTCTGAATTTTGTGTAATAGATTTTTCTGGATTTTGCGTAGTAGATTTTTCCGAATTTCGCGTAACAGATTTTTCCGAATTTCGCGTAACAGATTTTTCCGAATTTCGCATAACAGATTTTTCGGGATTTTGCATAGTAGATTTTTCCGAATTTCGCGTAACAGATTTTTCCAAATTTTGCGTAATAGATTTTTCTGAATTTCGCGTAATAGATTTTTCCTCCTTTCGTGTCGCGTGCGGAGGCTGGGAAGGGTCAGCCTGAGCCCCTGAGCCCCGTCGCGCCGGTGGGATCGCTGGTAGCAGGAAAATGCAAGTTTGGAATCTTCTGGCAACCTGCAGAGCGGAGGAGGGAGCCAAGCAGAAAAGCCAAGAAGGAAAAGGAAAAGGCAATATCTTGCATTTCCCTGCTCCAGCTTTCCAAACACCTGCTGCCCCCAGCCAGCCGGACGGAGCAACGGTGATTCTTCCATTCTGGAGGCACCTCCCGATATTTGGCCAGTGCACACGTCCCCGAGGGGCTGCCCCATCCCCGACCCACCGAGCTGGGGGTTCTCACCCCCATCCCTCATTAGCAGCAACCTCAGCTACTAATACAGTGATTTAATGTGGTTTTAAGGCTGTTCTTCCATTATTTGGTGGATTCCAAGTCTCTCCACGGGCGCAGAGCGAGCGCAGGGTCTGTCCCGGGGCTGAAAACCAAAAAAAAAGTGTTTCCCAGGACAGCAAACTTCCTGGAAGAAGCGAAGAAGGTGTTTGGAACTTGGAATTTTTTCATCGTGTCATCTCTACGGAACAGCGTGTCTCTTTTTTTTTCTCCCAGGTCGTTATTCATCATCTCTTCAAGCCTCCCAGCTCGAGCTGGAGTGCTTTGCTAAATTCAGGCTCTCTTTTAAGAATATTAACGGCTTTAAATCGATGATATATTTGCTGTCCAATCCCAAAGTCACGTCTACGGTTACTCTCTCGTGCCTTTTTGAACCCACGCCGTAAATCTAACTCGTTTCGCTTCCGCTGTTCTCGACCGAGTGATTGGGTTGTTTCCTTGATCAACGCTTGCTCGTGATAAGTTACGTCTGCGCTTAAGTGAGGTTATCGGCGCGGTTCTGTCTTTGTAAAGTCAGTTGGCCAACATTTTTTTTCGGTTAATATTATTAATCTCATTCTTTTTCGAAACGTCGCTTTGTGGAAGAGTGACGGAAAGGTGGAGGCCGGTCCGAATATTGTTCTTCCAGTTCACCATCTTTTTATTGCCCGTTGGAAGCGCTGCAGACCCGCCGATACAGAGGGAAACAAATCTGGATTCTGCAAATTTTAACACGGGGGGAGTTTCTCGTAGAGCGCTCTGAACTAACCCCGCTGCGATAAAATCTGAAAATGGTGACTATTTGGATCGAAAGGGTGACGTTTCTTTAGGAAACCCTTTAGAAAAGCTACCTTCCGGCTTTTCCTACGACTTGAGCCTGTCCCAGCCAAACGAGTTCATTTGCCGCAGCTCAGCGGGGGGAAACTCGGCTGTAAAACCAACAGAAGAATAAATCAAGCGTCCGCCTTGAGCGGCGAAGACGACTTCCACCCGGTTGCATGACACTTTGGAAGCTGGCATTTATTTTTGGCTGCTTTTCCCCGTCCTTTCGGGACCGCCCGCCCTCCCGGCGCTTCCCATCCCCGCTCCACCTCCGAGCTGACCCCCGTGCCCGGCGGCTCCGTGCCGTGGCTTTGCACGAGGACGGCAAAGACAACCGCGGTTGCCGCCCCGCACCGGGGTTTTGCCGTGAAGAGTTGGCTCTACCGCTTTGGGGTATTTTTGCAGCGGGGACACCCGCCTCGGAGACTGACCCCACAGTTGGGTTGGACAACAGGCAAAGCTCATAAATTAAGGAACAAATTGGCGAGAGGCGTGAAATCCGCACTCTTTTCTGTTGTTGGTGGTTTTTATTGACGGGGAGCTGTTAGACCGTTGTCCGTCGCGCTCGGCGGGCGCTGCGGAAGGCTGAGGTGCGAAGCCAAATTTCTGTCGGCCCTTTCCGGGCTTAATTTTGGTGGAGCCAGAGTCTCGACCTGAAAGCAGTTAGGCTGGACGGCTGCAGGAATAGCGGAAAAAGCAGGAATATAGGAAAAAGCAGGTTGAGACCGACATGTAAGGGCTGGGCTGTGCAGGGAGAAGCAGAGGAAAAGGGAAATGTTATTTTTTCATCTCTTTCCAGGCCAGGGCATGTCTCATTTTCCTCAGGTAGCTTCTGGAACCGTTGCCTTGCGTCCCCATCAGATGAGGGCAAGGGAGGAGAGCTGGCACCGCATCTCACCTTCTCACCACGCGGCTTCAAAACCGCCCGGTTGGGACTGGTTTTCCTCGGAAAACTCGCGTCGGGCTCTTTGCGCCAGGCAAAGCTGGGCTCGAGCTGGGCTTGGCAATCCTTGAGCGGGATGAGGCTTGACTTGATGATCTCAGAGGTCTTTTCCTGGTGATCCGTGAGCGCCATGAGGCTGGACTTGATGATCTCAGAGGTCTTTTCCTGATGATCCTCGAGTGCCACGAGGCTGGACTGGATAATCTCTGGTCTTTTCCAGCCTCGATGCTGGGAGAACTGCTGGATCCCGGTGCCTGTCTTTGCAAAACGCGAAGGGTCTGAGCTCGGGAGGGACTTCTCCTTCAGCTTGAAGCCAACCCTGGTGTCCCACGCCAGCTCGCTTTCTGCATCAAAAGACGGAGTTGACCCACACCCAGCGATGCTGAAGGTGTTTGTAGGAGAGGTGACCTGACACGGCCGCTGCCCGCGGGCGCGGCGCCCGATCCTGGGGTGATGGGACCGCGCCAATCCCTCATAGAGCTGTCAGGGTTCAAGGGACCTTAAAGATCCAAGGGCAGGGACATCTCCCGCTAGATCAGGCTGCTCAGAGCCCCATCCAGCCTGGCCTTACACACTTCCAGGGCTGGGGCTTCCACCTGTTCCAGTGTCTCCCCACCCTCGTGGCGAAGAACTTCTTCCTAATCTGCCTCTAATCTGCTCTGAACCGACCCATCTCCAGCTTCAACCCATTCCCTCCAGGCTTTTGCTTTGTGGCCGATCCCACACAGGTGACGTTGAGGCTCTGCGACGCTGCTCCGGGAGCCCCGAGGAAGCTTCTCTCCATCCCAAACTCCCTCAACCTTTCGCCTCCTGCCTTTTGCGTGGGTTTTTTTCCGGTTTTAACGAGCCCTTTTCCCCCCTCCTTGCCCTGCTTGGGGCCGCCGGAGCTCTGGGCGTTCTCTCCCGGCCGTGGATTTTCTCTTCCCGTCGGCTGCGA